TCTGGGAAGCAGATGTAACAGATGACAGGGACCTAGGTAAATAGTAACAACATGAGTCATTTCAGTCAGTCATGTTTCGTGGGCTAGAGAAGTCATGTCGGAGACTCCAGGTTTGAACAAAGAGAAATAGCTCACTTCCCCTCATGTGCTCACATGGCAGAAGAGGAACCCGGCTAGATGGGCCGGAGAGAGACCATTTATGGAATGCAAGACGGGCACCTTAACGTCACTGGAAAGAGCAAGTATGTTGTTGATGCTGTTAGGTGCCATGGAGTCACCCTCAACTCATAGTGACCAGGCGCTGCAAACAACAAGCCTGAACTTGACCCTGTCCAATGTCACCATCTCTGATATGTGGAAGCCCATGGTTACAGTCACTGTGTCAGTGATCATGTTGAAGGTCTTCCAGCTGTAACTGATCATAAATACTTTAAATACAAGGTGTGGTTGTTTTGAGTGTGTTTTCCTAATGCCACCGTAATAGGATATCACAGCGTGGTGTTTTTCTTTGCTCACAATTCTGGAGGCTAAAAGTCCCAATCAGGGTGTTGGCTGCGTGAGTTGAGTTTCTCCTGGGGGGCCCCTCTTCAATCCATCTTTGTTGCTTATAGTTGTAACTGCTTGCATCATCACACATGGGGGATGTCTTTTATAATACACCACTCAGTGCCCCAAGAGCATCATGCGATATATGTTGGGCTGCTAACTGAGAGGTTGACGGTTCAAGTCCACCAGCTGCTCTGAGGAGGATGGAGAGACAGTTTCCTCCTGAAAACATTTTCTGCTTTGGAGCCCTGTAAAGGGTCATCCTAAATTGGGATGATCTTGTTGGCAGCAGATTGGAGAAGATTAGAGTTAGGACTCCCCCTTCTCAGACATGTTGTCACTTACGTAAACTTCCCATTTCACATTCACAGCTGTAAGGGTAAGAACTTCAGCAGAGTTCTGGAGGGCACAGTTTATAGTATATAGTCCATAGAATATAGTCCTGATTGTGTGAATTTGGTTAAAATGCCACTTTGAAGGACTTTTTGATGATTTGTTTAAAGCTTCTTATTCATCTACCCCTTTATTCAAGGAATTAGCTGGGGACAAAAAAAAAAAGTCAGAAATCATGAAATTAGAGTAAAATTACTTCCCAGAGCAATGATTAAAACAAGTTTCGTGAGCTTAGAATCACTGGAATCTGTTGACATTATAAAACATGAAACAGAAGCTGTAATAACAGTAGAGGCTTTAATTTGTGTTTGCTGTGGTCCAGGGAAAGTGTCATTATCCTCTTTTATTTCTCATCCTGGGGCAGAGCCCATTGCTTGTGGTGATTGTTGAATACCGTCCAGTCAGAACTGACCCATAGCTGACCCTCTAAGAAGTTTTTCAGAAACAGTAAGTCATATGGGAGGAGACTGCCCATCTTTCTCCCACTGAGCAGCTGGTAGATTTGAACCTTGTCTCTTGGGGTTGCAGCACAGCTTCTTACCGCTAGGCCACCAGAGGGAAGCAAAAGGCCAGGGGGTGATTCTTGGCGTGGTGTGGTACTCCCCCTTCTAGGAAGCATTTTGCCAGCATGTTTCCTGCCAGATGAATAAACAAGTCTGTCTTGGAAGAACTGTATCCAGGTTGCTCTTTAAAGACAAGGCTTGTCTTACGGGCTTTCAGCGGGAGGGACCAGTCCTTGGAGAAGTATTTCGGGCTGGGAAAGGTGGTGCGTCAGAGAAAGAGAGGAAGCGCCTGGAGGAGATGGACTGACAGTGACTGCAGAAATGGGCTTGTCATCAGCGACGGTGAAGGTGGTGCAGGAGAGGCAGGGCTCATAGGATGAACGTGATGCAGCGTTCCCGAACCTCATCAGTAATTGCCCATGGCGTCCAACTTTGTGATCCAGCTGGTTAAAAGGTTTTCATGACCTGCACTTGCCCGAACCCATCTAATTTCCTGTTGTTCTCTGAGATTTTAATGGGCATTGTCTTCTTACGTGAGTGCCCTCTGTACCTTTTCTGTCCCATGAATTCATGGCCTCGCTAAGGTCCTGGGAAGCTGGTCACCCCGCCCTCCATTTTTTGTCTGTCACATGTCATAATGTTTTGTATTTCTTCTATAATCGTTTGTTTACCTGGCAGCTGTTCTGTGATTTCTTGTTTATGCCTTAGCCTGTTTCTCAAGATCAGCTCCTTGAAGGAGGCAGTGCATTTTCTTCTTGTAAATCTGCGGCATCGTTCCTGACATACCATCATCAGTCCTTAAGAACGGGTCTGTTGAAAGACTGAATGAATGGACGGAAATAGACCAGTTTGTGTATTTTGGGTCTTCACAGACTGCTTCCTTCCCTGCAGTTGAATGAAACAAGCATGACACTCTGTAATCTTCTTGCCATTTTCGAGGATGTCTAAATGCCAGCAAATACCAGGGTAGCCCAGAAAAATGGAGCTTGGAAGGTTTATTTTATGCCTTGTTGGTAATTTCTAGCTTCTACACCAGCTCTGATGGACTGTGTTCCCACAGCCCTAAGTCCAAAAGCCTCTAGCATGTACTCTTTATAAAGAAGCTTCCCTTTTGTACAGATTTTTATCTCCTTGCAAAGATTCCTGAAGGGAACGTTTTCGAGTAAGTACTTATCAGATGTCCACCTCACACTTCAGGTAGTTTTTCTAAGGCTTGCTGTATCCACAGAAACGTGTGTATTGTGTATGTTGAGTTTAGCTGCATGATATTATGTTATGGTCGTGGTGGTGGTGGTGGTGGTGATGAAACTTGATTATCAAGTGTTTGCTCTGGCTCGGTGACTGAGATACAAACTCTGCATTAGTGGTATTGTTTGTTCTCCTGTATCACCTTCATTTTAAAGGTAAGTTGAAGCAAAAGAGACCAAGGAATGTGTCCAAGGAACCGTGCTTAAAATGAAAAAGAAAAGTGACGTTGTAAAATTTGAGAAGGAAAAAGATTGTGCTTACTCTGCGAACAGTCATCTGCTAGTTTTTTCCTGTATAGATGATGTGTGCTCTCCTCCACTCTTTCCCTCTTTCCCGCCCCTCTCCTTTTCCTCCCCTTTCCCTGCCCCTCCCTCTTCTCTTCCTCCTTCCCTCTTTTTCCCCCACCCTCTCCCTCCCTCTCTCTCACTTTCTTTCTCTCTCTCAATTTCTAACACCTCTTTCCAGAAAGAGAGCTCTGGTGGCCTAGAGGGTAGTGTGTTATGCTGCCAACCCAAAGACAGGCAGTTCTAATCCACCAGCTCCACCAGCTGCTCCAGCAGAGAGAAAGGGGCCCCGTCTCCTCCTCATGATTTACAGCATCTGAAAACCTTCTGGAGGGTCAGCTGTGAGTCACCTCCAACTCAGTGACACGTAACAGCAACAATAACATTTTCAGGAAGGCACAGCTTCTCCTCACAACTTATTTGAAACCCTAGTGTGAGCCTTGAGAAATAGAGCAGTAACGCTGCTTCCTCTCCAGCACTGCGGCATCCAGAACCAAGCACCAAGCACGGGCTGGTATCTGTTTTCTTTTGTTTCCGCTGAACAGACAAGGCCAGTGCCTCACCATTTGCCTCTCCCTGAGTGTCCCAGACATTGTCATTTAGAATGCATAGTCCCTGGCAACAGCCACTGAGCCTGCACTTGACCATGGCACCCTCTGCTTTGAAACTCTAATGAGGATGTCATCCATCCTGTCTGCAGACAGCATGCGTGAACTCTCAGGAGTGAACTTGTCCCTAGCAACGGTGGCTGCATTCTGCTCCTCACTCTAATGAAAGTCAACAGCTAGCTTGAAAACCGGGAAAGCATTTCAAAATCATTGCGTAAATATCATCTCCAGAGGCAGTTAGAGATCCATGTGGAATATCTTCTAACCTCAGCCTCAGAATCTTAATGGTGCCTGATTTTCAAGGTAACCAAGTGAGTAAGGCCTCACTAAACGTTTTTGTTATTAAGACGTGCTTTTCTTTTCCAAAAAGCTTTCTTTGCCAGAGTTTTAACATTTCCATTTAGATTTATCAGATAATTCCTTTGGATACAGTTCAGACTCTTTTTTTTTTTTAATTATTACTAATTTTAATGAAAGTTCAGAGACTTAGGTTTCCCTTGTTGCACTTTTCTCCCTGACCACCCCTTTCTCCCCCCAACTCACTCTTCTCCTTGTAAAGAAAAAGAAAAACCTCTTTAATTGTTACACAATCCTTCCCCCAAGTCCACTCCACTGTGCAGCCTTCGTTCTGGACTCCTGTCATGACAATAATACCTAATCATATAACCGTTTTAAACAGTTCTCTCCCTCATCTGTTTCAATGCAGTATACATCATTCCTCCCCTTCTTCTCTGTCTTCCCTCAACCCCGATGTCAGTCCTGTTTTACAGCAGTGGCTCTGTGCAATATTTGTCCTTTTGTGTCTGAGATATTTCACTCAGCATAATGTCCTCTAGCGTCATCCACTTTGGATAATATTTCATGAGTTCATTGTTTTTCAATGCTGCATAGTATTCCATTGTGTGAATATACCAGAGCTTCTCTATCCATTCGTTTGTTGATGGGCACTTGGGTTGTTTCCAGCTCTTTGCTATTGCAAATAAAGCCGCAGTAAACATAGGCGTGCATATATCTGCTTGGGTGTCAGTTATAGTTTCTTTAGGGTAAATTCCCAGTAGTGGAATTGCAGAGTCAAATGATATTTCTATTTGCAACTTTTTGAGACAGCACCAAACAGCCTTCCACAGTGGTTGCACCATTTCACACTCCCACCAATGGTGAATAAGGGTTCCAGTTCCTCCACAACCTCGCCAGCATTGTAATATTGCTGTTCTGTTAAATTTTGTTATTCCTACTGGGGTGAGATGATAGCTCATAGTTGTTTTTATTTGCATCTCTCTTAGAGCGCGGGATTTTGACAATTCAGACTCTTTTGAGGTAAATCATCAGATGATGGCACTGAGAAGTAAATTCGGATAAGAGATTTGTTTTTCTCTTCATTTTGTTCAGATGTGAAATGAGGCCTCTCTCTCTTTCAGCCTTGCCTTACATCCAGATAAAACGCTCGTTGCGACTGGCCAGGTGGGAAAGGAGCCGTACATATGCGTCTGGGATTCGTATACTGTGCAGACCGTGTCCATTCTTAAAGATGTCCACACACATGGGGTTGCCTGCTTGGCTTTTGACTCAGACGGACAGGTGCGTATGTAGCTTTCCTCATTTCTCTTTAAGAGCTTCTCACAGGTCAGTGGCGATCTCGGTGTCCACATTACAAGGGCATGGCCTCAGAGTCCCTCAGCCTGGCTGGCTCCTCTTCTAAAATTCCTCACTCACTGGTCTTCCTCTAAGCAGGTGGTGTGGAGATCGAGACCTGCATAGACCCCAGCGTTGCTTTCTGATGTCTCACCGTCCAGTTAACCATCTTCCTGATGCTACCTCAGAGTCATGGACACAGTTCCCCCATTGCTCAGCAAGTCCACTTTCTTACTTGTTACAGTAAGGACTGGGCCAGATTTTTTCATGGCCCTTAGGCCCTGAGCATTACCCTGGTAATTGAACTTTCAGAAGATATTGTCACCTTTGAGCCCTGGTGGTGTGTTGGGTCAAGAACTGCCCATCTTTCTCCCATGTTCTGGTGGATTTGAATCTTTGACCTTGGGGTTAGCAGCCCAACAGGCAGCCCATTCTAACACCAGGCTTCCTGGTCTGATAGAGACTTCTGAAACCCCCAAGACCATAGCTTTCAAGTACCCTTTGAACTTAGAGTAGAACTCACCCCCATGTCTCAACTTTCAAACAATGTGGATTTTTGTTTGTTTGCTATGTGCTGTCAAGTTGGTATCAACTTATAGCTGACCCTCCAGTGGTTTTTCAGAGGCTGTAAATTGCACAGGAGGAGATTGCCCATCATTTAACCACAAAGCAGCTGGTAGATTCGAACCACCTGCCTTTGGGTTGGCAGCACAGTTCCTTAACCAATAGGTGACCAGAATTCCCTTAGCAAACAGTAGACAGGCCTGTCAGGTTATCAGTAGCACAAAGAAGGCTCTCACATCTTCGAATAACCAGGCCTTTAAGGTCAGAAGAACAGCATCTGTCCAAGGATAAAGGGATTCCTTGGTCAAAGATTGTTCAGAGTAACAGTTCATGAAGCCTTTCCAATTCGCCCAACAAAATGTTCTCATCTTGTTTTGCTGTTTAACAATGTTTGGTGGAGGAGATCTGTTGCTGTGCTAGAGAACAGGGAGTGGGAGGGTCGGATAGCTCCTGGTTCTCATCGCGTCCACCTCCTCCTCAAGTAGCTGTCCTTCCCTCTCTAGCCGTCTTGTTCCTACTCCACCCTGCCTCTCTCCTACCTGCCATAGAGCTCTAACCTGATGGCTTGAATCCAACTTTTGAGCTATTTTGAGATTAATTTCATTAAGTTGGTGTCATGAAATTATCAATCTGTGACATATTCTGAGAGGCTTAACTATACAAGATTTAGGAAACTCATTGGCTTATTGGCCTCGTTTGAGTCACTTGTCTAACAGTTAACATTGGCTTGGTATTTTCTACTCTTCTGAATGAGTCATAATCGTTGATCATTCATTTCTTTGGAAGAGGTAGATTGAGCACATATTTCAACCCTTGTGTGGTTGGTTTTTATCTTGACCTGCTTTAATCTTGAGTTGTTTACTCAGGACAGTACATTCCTCTGTACTGTTGCTATCACGTTGATGTAGACTTGAACAGCTTTATATATCAGATCAGAACGTGATCTCGTCTTCTGCCATCTTGATTTTTAGTATGGGTTTGTGTTGTTTTTTTTTTTCTCTTGGTGGTGTTTACCATCAAGTCAGGAGATTGCCCCTCCTTCTCCAGCACAGCATCTGGTAGATTTGAACCATGCACCTTCAGGATTGCAGTGCAACTTCTCACCACTAAGCCACTAGAGCTTCCTGATTTTTTAGTATATTTGAGTTGACTGTTGTGGCTATTACATTAGATTCATTGAGGGCTTCCCTTGTTTGGGTAACTTTCTGTTTGGCCTCTGAGCGTCATGTCTAAACATGAATGATTATCAACAAACAAAACTGAGCTGTTGAGTAAGAGTGTGTGTTCAATTATCCAGCTCTATGGACTTCTTGATTAAATCAAAGGGAATGCTTTTGCATATGTTGTTGTTGTTGTTGTTATGTGCTATCACATCGCCTGCGACTCAGAGACCCTATGTACAACAGCTCTAAACCCTGCTCTATCCTATGCCAATCTCACTGTCTCTGACCCATCTACCCCCATTACCCCAGTCAGTTAATCAAACCATCTCATTGAAGGGCTTCCTCTCCTGCACTGTCCCTCCACTCTCCCAAACATGACGTCCCTCTCCAAGGACTGGTCATTCCTTGCAACATGTCCTAAGTATGTCAGATGGAGCTTCAGAATCCTTGCCTCCAAGGAGCACCCTGGCTTCACCCTCTGCAGGATGAACTTGTTTCTTCTCCTAGCTATCCATGACACAGTCAATACTCTTCTCCAGCACCACAGCTCAAAGGCATCAATTCTTCTGTAAATATCTACTTATACGTGTGTTTATAGTCCCTAATTTGATTGTGTTATACTAGCAATTTTAAAAAAAAAATCCAAGTTCATTCTTACACATCACAAGAATATGGAACATGGCCCAGGGAAATGCAGCCTCAATTCCTCACCCATTCTGCTTTGAATTCTACCTCCTCTCCATCAGGTTCTCTTTTGGAAGACAGTAATAGGGATGGGCCACGTGACAGTAAGTGTCAGTCGAGGAAAAACAGCCTTCTGTTTGTTGGCTGGGGTTGATTTCATGGCTTGTTGAGAGCAATTGCTTCAGGTCACTCTTCCTCCCTGAGCAGAGTTCACTGGAATCAAGTGGTATTTAGAAAATGACAGATGGTCCATCACCTCGCAGTCAACACAGGAAATAGAAATCCTTCTCAGGTGGCTGTGAGGCCCGTTGCTACAAGTAAGCTTGGTAGCCATGAGCCAGAGCCACCACTGTGCCTGCTATTAACAGAATTCTGTCCTCCGAGAGCTTTACCAAGCTGCTGAAATGGAAAGGTTTGACACAGAGAAGTCACACGCATGAACATGATTTGCCTTCCTAATTTGCTGTAATTTTGCAAATATTTAAAGTATAAAGTAATTTTATGCATGGACTATATGTTGTTGTTGTTGTGTGCCGTCAAGTCGCTTGCGACTCATAGAGACCCTATGTACAGCAACCCTAAACTCTGCTCTGTCCTGTGCCAATTGCACTGTCTCTGACACACCCATCACTGAATCAATCCACCTCATAGAGGGCCTTCCCCTCCTGCGCTGTCCTTCCACCCTCTCAAGCATGATGTCCTTCTCCAAGGAACGGTCTCTTCTTAGAACATGTCCAAAGTATGTTAGACGGAGCCTCAGAATCCTTGCCTCCAAGGAGCCACCCGGTTTAACCCTTTCCAGGACGAATCTGTTTGTTTTCCTAGCAGTCCATGGTATTCTCAGTACTCTTCTTCAGCACCACAGCTCAAAGGAATCAATTATCCTATCTTCCTTGGTCATTGTCCAACTCTCTGATGTACAACAGCTTCGGGGGGGGGAAATTATTTATATAATTGTGTATATAATAGTATATATGTTGTTTTTGTTGAGTACTGTTGAGTCAGAACCGACATACAGCTGACCCTCCAGCAGGTTTTTAGAGGCAGTAAATTGCCAAGGAGGAGATTGCTGACACGTTTGAACCATGAACTTTGGGGATTCCAGTGTGGATACTTAGCACTAGGCCACCATATGTAGCTATCTAAATAAATAATTCTACATATTACAGGGTTTAATATCAGTAATAGAAAGAGGAATATATACTTTGAATAAACCTGATCTGGGACAACATCTCCCAGTTTAAACTCTTTGGGTTCAGATTAGAGTTGATCTTCAAAAGGAGGGGGCGGGGAGTATTCAATATATAGATTATTTACAAAACGGAAACTGCTAAAACGTATTATCAGTGAAACAAATGAGCACTCAAATCGATATTATTTACAAAATCAAACATGTTGAAAACATAATTGGCGTCAACGCACACGAACACCCTAGCCAGGTACAGCGTAACGAGAGCACAGGGTAACAGAGATGCCGACTAGGAGTAAGTAGAAGTGTCTCTCTTTTCCCTTCGTGAGGGAGCTTTGGTGTGGCGTGCACCATAGGGAGTTGAGCTGCTAATCCCATATGGGCTCCTCTCTCCAGCAGTTCGAATCCACCATCCACCTGGGTCCACCAGGAGCCCCTTGGGAGAAAGATGGGCATTCTCTTTCTATGGAGCTTACAGCCTCCATTCACGGGAGGGCAGCTGCCTGTCGATTTCAACCCCATAGCAGTGAGAGTTTTACTTTGTGAGTAGCTAGACACAAGATCTTGGGAAAAGAATGTCTTTAATCTCCGTTTTCTCGTGAGTGACAGAATGAAGAGTGCCCTGGCCTCTTTCCTGTTCATGGTCATTGGTGGGCCGAGCCTTTGTGGCCGTCACTGTCTGTTCTGAGTGTCTTTTAACCCTGAAGCCGGGGAATATTCTGTTATTCTATAGGGTTTTCGTTGGTTAATTTTAGGACATGAAATACCAAACCTCTTTCCTGGTCCATCTTCATCTGGAAGGCCCCTGAAATCTGTCCGCCACTGGTGACTCTGCTGGTGGTAATAGCTTTAAGCATCATATAGTCAAAATCACACTCAGCACTGTTGAGTGGATTCTAACTATAATGACCCTATAGAACTGTAGTGACCCTGTAGACTTGCTGTCCAGTCAATCCCAACTCCTACACCAAAGTACAGCTGCCGCTTACGAGTTTCCCCAGCTGTCATTTTCATGGAGGTTAACTACCACGTTGTGAAGCAACCACAGCACGACCAACTGGTAGATAGAATCCTAGCCTTCTTTTAAAAAAAGTTAGACATCTAAAATGCTTCCTTGAGGTCCTAGTTTTACCTTTTCCACAGATTTTATGAGAGGCCTTATGAAACTTGACACTTACGTTTCCTGTGTTTTAGATTTTAGCATATGCTGATAAAAGTCATCTGCTCCATTTAAGACAAATTTTCAGAAATCACTTTGTTTACAGAGAAGTCTCTGCTTAGCATGTAGACAGTAAGCATTAACTGTTCTCTGGAAGAGAGCATGAATGATAAACCACCTTTCCAATCACTTTAGGTATTGACTAGAAATTATTCTTGTTTGCAGCGTTTAGCCTCTGTTGGACTGGATGCCAAGAACACGGTCTGCATCTGGGACTGGAGGAAGGGGAGACTGCTGGCCTCGGCCACCGGCCATTCCGACCGGGTAAGACCACCTTGTTGGCTCAGCCATGCAGGCCCCAGGACCCTTGAGGGCTTGTAGAATTGCCTCTCTGACTTCATCTTTTCAAAATTGGCCATTACTGATTTTTCCTAAACATCCCACTTGCGCACTTACTTTTTCTTTCGTTAATTCCTGACTGGCAGCTCATGTGCCGGCATGATGTCATCTGGTGATCACATCCTTTATTTGAGTTGTCCTGCTTTCTAACAGGCAAAACACATCTTTCATATTGGCATTTAGCATCTTTATAAAACCAAAACAGACTCAATTTGAACTTCTGCGTGTACTTTGAACACATTAGTGAAAAAACACAATCATTATTAGAAATTGACCTTCACAAAAGCTAATTACAAGGGTAGACATTCCAATACCAAATGCACGTAAAGACAGCTTCGAGGTTTTTTGTTACACTTGAGGACGCTGGATAGAAATTGTGGCCCAGTTGTCATTGATGCTGAAATCAGTATAATCAGAAATTATAATTCCATGTAGTGTTACCTGCTCGGGTGGGGATGCAGCCAGCATATGGATTTCTGAAACCACGCAGAAGTCTTTTTCCCCAGTGTCCTACAGTACCAAAATCTTTTGATTGCTTTCTTAAGTTTCTACTTTAAGAGTGATTGTGGATGACTCTTAGACGGATGTCTAGTTATCGGGGCACAGTGAAAAGGTCCTGTACCATGAGGTCCTAAAGATGCATTTATGACACTGTCTGTTGCTTAGTGTGAACTTTAATTTGTTTTGTTTTTTTTTTATTAGTAAGTGGCACCTTCATTTTGGAAGCATTATAGTTTTATGCAGGCCCCAGAATTGTTGGACATTTAGATGGATTCTCTTCCAGGATCAAATCCTCAGAATGTCTAGGAGTATCCAGTGATGGGGTGATGTTGGAGAGGCCTGGTACCCCATGCTGGCGCTCAGATTCCACCCCTGAGGATTCTAATTGGTTAACATCAACTTAGTACCTCCTGGGCTGTTTAGGTTGAAAACGTTTCTGATGATTAAGTCCTGGATTTTACTATTCCTGCTAATACTGAGATTCCATAAAACCAATAGTGTATAGAGTGCGTGAGCTCCCCCTGACCACAAAAATGGGCTCGAGACCCAATACACTTGGTTGAGATGCTGCCTCTGGCTCTACTGAGAGCAAAACTTAGAGTATTTTGTCTGTTAGTTTCCACTTCATATTCCTATTGGGGAATAATTTTATATCGTCTCATCTGAATGAGCATGTTGTTGTTGTTGGTGGTGGTGGTGGTATGTGCTGAAGAGTCACCAGCGACTCATAGCGACCCCCTGTACAACAGCTCTGAAGCCTGCCCAGCCCTGAGACAGTCTCACTGATTCCAACACACCTACCCTCATTGCCCCAGTCACTGTGTCAATCCATCTCATCTGGGTTCTTCCTCTCCTGTCCCTCCACCATTCTGAGCATGAGGTCCTTCTCCAAGGACCGGTCCCTCCTGGCCACGTACATGTAATTTTGGACCTGTTACCTTAGCAAAATGTGGAAAAGGGAAAAAACTATTGAATCCTTTAGAGCAATAATAGAACTTTTAAAATAGCTTAATGCAATCACTCTGGCTTGTGTAAAAGGCTTTTGTTGTTGTTGTTGTTGTTACATCTACTGAGTGTCTTCTACCTGTCAGTCTGATTGCAGTGACTCTGCCCTATTGTATTGTGTATTTTAGATGGCTTAGGATTATAAAAAGTGCTAAGCTAATTAGAAGTCTGCACTTTTAAGAGCCTAGAATGTTTTCTTTTTTTTTCCTATATTTTATTAATTTTCATAAACATTTACAGAGATTTTGGGTTTCCATTCATTCCTTGTTTAGAATGTTTTCTTGAAACGCTATAGTTTCGGAAGTTTGTTTTCCCGACTCCATAATCTCTATCACATACTGTTTTGTTCATACCGATGTCACTCTGTATTATCATTAACTGTTTTACTGCAAGCGGAGGATAGAGGTAGATTGACACAGGGACTGTGGCAGGAGTGTCAGGTGTGTCAGAGACAGCAAGACCGCCTCAGGACAGGGCAAGGTTAAGAGTCATCGGTCATAGGGTCACTGTAAGTCATAGGTGACTCGACAACACATAACAGGAACCCCAGCTTTGGGGGTAAAGATCCTCAAGATTATTTTAGTGGCTATAAAACTTCCTTGCTTCCATCTGTGTGGTAAGAGCTTTATAACATTCAAAATGACTTCATATACATGATCCTAACTGGCCTAATGAAAGAAGAAATTCGGACGACACTGAAGGTTCTTTTTATTTTTTTTTAATTTTTTAATTTTATTTTTATTATTTTGTGTGTGTGTGTGTGTACCATCAAATCAGATCTGACTGGTACAGGAGGAGATTTTTCCTCCTTCTCCAGCAGAGCATCTGGTGGATTCGAACCGCATACTTGTAGGATTGCAGTGCAGCTTCTTGCCACTAGGCCACCAGAGCTCGCCTACACTGAAGGTTCTTGTTCACTGAGGCACGGAAGCCCCAGGAATCGATTAAACACCACGTGCAGTGTCTCAATCCCACACGTGCTCAAACACCCAGATGTCTGAGTGCCCCCAGCAGCCAGTGCCAAGAACGTGGTGGGCACCTGGTGACCTGGCTGCATTTGTTTCCATTAAAAAACAAAACCAAAATGGCCAGAAACAGGCAGCCCATGAGTGTGCTGAAAGTATCAAACACGAATCATCTGCACATGTAAGTAAAATCTTGCGGAGGATTGGTGAAAAACAGTGCATCAGCAGGAAGCTAGAACTGGGTCCAGAAGAGGGAGGTCCCTGCTAATGTTATGAGGTGCGGTCACGGTGATTGTGACTCACAGGGACCCTGCGTCCTCCCCGTAGTGGTTGCTGTTTGGGCCTCTTGTTGCTGTCGCTGTGTTAGCCCGTCTTGTCAAGGATCTTCCTGTATTGCGCTGACATTTCATTAAGGCAGAATTAGTACCAGATCAATGCTTCTGCCTCATGCTCAGGGAAAGGGGCGTCTATGATTATTAGAATCTATTGGCTATATTCAACTGTACTTAAATATTAGCTATTTTACTAATTCAGTGAAGCCTTTTATTATTTTCGTTTAAAAAAGCTATCTGCAAAGTGTTTGAGTCTCATACTGGAGAGCTCTAAGGAGTTTGATCAGAATATCCTAAATCATCAAAATGTGCTTGCCTATCGCAGATGGACATGATAAAATAGATGTCAGTTTCTTCTAAGTGAGTTTTGTTACGTCTCCACTCAAGTGTAAGAGCAGTAAATAGACCATGAGCCAGGTGTTTCTCAGGACCAAAGCCTTCATTTTTTCCCTTCTGTGCAGGTAGCATAGTGTTCAAAGTTCTGGTAACTGAATGATGTCTTGAAGAAGGGAAACACTTAAATAACCAACATAGCAACTTCTGTTTCTTAACAGATTTTTGATATTTCCTGGGATCCGTATCAGCCAAACAGAATGGTTAGCTGTGGAGTAAAACACATAAAGGTATGTTTTAGATATTTCTTTCTTTCTTTTATTTTTTTACTTATTTTATTCCCTCACGGGGGAAGGAATTTCCAAGTGTGTGTTTCTTAAATCTGGAGTCTGCTGCTCAGTGTTTCTGAGACTGAAGTGAACATCAGCTGCTGAAAAAGAATCCCTTTCAGAACTGCGCGGTAACCACAGTCCTGGGATGCGCTCCGCAGGCAGCCAGGAGGAAGCTTCATGTTAATTATGTGCCGATCTGATGACTCAGAATGCTTCTAGGATTGCATATTTTAAAGCAATTCAGATTTTCATTTTGTGAATTCAGTTTTTTGCATTATGAGGGACACACACACACACACACACACACACACACAGAGAAACACACACATAAATAGTAGTTTAGGGGCCTTCCAGTTCACTCCAGCTCTAGCAGCCGTGTAAGGACAGACCCTGCCTGATCCTATACCATCATCCTCACCCGGCTGTACGTAAGCCTGTGTCATGCTGTGCTCAGCGTGCAGGTGGCCCATTGCTTTTGAACGATTCTGACTCTGTAGCACAGAATGTAACTGCCCTCCTGGGTTACCACTTGTTGAGGGCTGTCTTCACAGAAACTGACTAGCACTCTGCCACGCTACTCCCTGACCGGCTGGTCGGTTCAGACTGCTAGCCTTGCAGCAGCCCAGTGCTCAGCCATTGGCCCACTGGCTTCTTTTTGATGACAGACCCTTAAATACTAGGCTCTGCCTGTGAATCAGACCCACAAATGCGTCCTTTTGTTGTGTAACACAGAATTAGCATGATCAACATTATTTGTTTTGATGTAGCAGAATTCCTCCTGGGATAAGGACCGTGATCTTCTGTTTAGAAAGTTTTCAGATAATGTAACTTAAAGTATATATAGGTAAAAGATCGTGGGGATGACTTGATCTTGGCTAGTCAAAAACTGGTACATAAATATTCAATGTAAGAAAAGTTGGTTTTATTGCCCTCCAGTCAATCTATCCCATTTACAAGTTTTTAGTTCTGGCCGTAATCTTGTTTGGCTCATTGTTCCAACTTAATGGCAAGGTAGAGCGCTGCACTGTGTAACGACACCTCTCTGTTTCAAATCAACCTTGAGAGAAAGGGCAGTGTCCTCCGCTACAATGCACAGCCCCTGAAAACCCGCTGGAGGGTCAGCTATGAGTCTGCTTCCATTAGGCAACAAAGAGCGAGTGAGCAGTTGGAAAGCATCAACTCAGCTCAGTGCCGCCCAGTCGGAACCAGCTCATAACGGACCCTCCTGCAGGTTTTCAGAGATGGAAACAGAGTTGACTTAATGGGGGAGAAGTGTGATGGTCTTTCTCCTGAGGAGCTCCTGGTGGATTCAAACCAGCACAGACGTGCTGAATTTGGATTAGCAGCTCCTTAATGGTTAGAAAAAAAGACAGACAATAAGATATTGAGGGGAGAAAAGAATATACTTGGCTTATTGATTTACCTGAGAATATTACCAATTTACCCGAGAACATTACAGATCTTTACAAAAGATTGTGAGTCTTGGACAACAGGAGAGATAGACCTTAGTTCTGGACATGAGGTCAGAGAGTACGTAAGTACATCATTTTTCTCCCAAGTCACTGTATGTTTAGTATAAATTCAGTCCAAATCTCTGTGCATTTTGTTGTTACTTGGAAGCATTAGTCCTTAACACTGGACCAATTGGCAGCACCATGAGAGATGGAGAAGAGATTGAGATGGTTAGCAATTTCAGCTTGCTTGCTTCCATAATCAACACTCTTGGCACCAGCAGTCAGGAAATCAAAAGATGACTTGCATTAGGGAGATCTGCTGTCAGGGACCGCTCCAGAGTGCTGAGGAGCAATGATAGCAGTCTAGAGACTAAGGTGCACCTGTTCCAGACCATGGTCTTCACAGTGACTTGCTATGAATCAGAGTGCTGGACAGTGACTAAAGATGACAGAAGAAGAATCAGTGCTTTTGAGTTGTGGTTCTGGAGAAGAGTATTAAACATACCACGGACCACCAGAAGAACAAACATATCTGTGCTGAAGAGGGTGAAACCAAGCTTCACCTCACAGACTGTAGGCATGTTGCCAGGAAGTACAGGTCTTCGGAGAAGGACATCATGCTTGCAGGAGTGGAGGGTCAGTGCAGGAGAAGAAGACCCTGGATGAGTTGGATTGATTCAGGGACTCAGGGAATAGGGGTAGGTGTGTCAGAGACAGAGATATTGGCTCAGGAGAGGGCAGGGTGCAGAGCTATTGCACGTAGGGTCACTATGAATTGTAGGTGATTTTGACAGCACGTAACAATAATGGGAGTAAGAATAATCAAGAACTTTGGGTTGAAAGAGGAGCCCTCATGTCACAGTCTACTACTAACCCAAAGGCTGTGCCTCTCCAGCGGTTCAAATCCACCAGCAGCTCCAAGGAAGAAAGATGCTCCATCTCCTCCAATTGGTATTTCGAGTCTTGGAAACCAGGTAAAAGGTCTCTATGAGTTAAAACTGACTCAACCATGACTTGGGTTGAATTTGAACTCAAAAGAATATGCACCACTCTTTTTCTAAAGCATTTTATGAAGTTATAATGGTTAAAATGGGTAAGAGTAAATAAATCACTCGGGAAGATAGAGGAAAAAAAAACCTTTGAGAATACAAGAGTGTCTATAATATTTGCTCCTGTTGTACATGGTGTCTCGGTGAGCTGTATGCCAACCCAGGAGTAGCTAATAAACAACAAATCAGTGGGCATTGAACACTTTTTTTCTGTTTAAGAGGGGAAGGTCCTATGGTGACTTCAGACCTTACACTAAAATCAATCCGATATGGATCAAACAGTTAACCCGGGACTCTAAAATAGTGGCCAGAATACATACATAAATATTTCAACCATAAGGGATAAGATTAATAGATTAAACTATGTAAGGATTAAGGGAACTCTGGTGGTCGAGTGGATAATGAGTCGCAATACGAACCCAATGGCAGTCAGTTCAAATCCACCAGCTCGTCCACTGGAGAAAGATGGGCAGCTTCCTCCTGTATCATTTACAGCCTCAGAAAACCTGCTGGAGGGTCAGCTATGAGTCAGCTTTGACTTGATGGCACATAACAACAGTGTACAAGGGTTAAAGCCTTCGGCAGAACTCCCTTCCCTTAATAAACAAAACCACAAAGTCGAAATACAAGCAGTAATCAAAGATAACAGGCTGGGTTTTTTGGTACAAGAGCCTTTAGGAAATTTGTAGAGTAAGCAGAGAACATGACCAGACAATTTAAAAAAAGATAAAAATTACTAGTTTAAACAGAAAAGAAAAAAAACCCCAAAACTGTGGCCGCCAGTTCACACACAGTGACTCTTGGTGATCCCGTATGTGTTGGAACTGTCATGGATTTTCAGGGTCTGATTGATTGTACAGAAGTAGATTGTTGCTGTTGTTGTTAGGTGCCATCGAGTCGTAGACGACTCGTAGCGACCGTATGAATGAAAGACCTGAACACTTGTATAACTTTAATCATTACTCCATGTTCATAGAGTTTCTGGAGGCAAGTTATTTTAGAAGTGGATACCACTCCTGCTTCCAAGCTTGTTTTAATTGGGGATTTCCACCAAACACTGTCCACCATGGGTGACCATTATCGCGTTTGACACATCAGTGTCGCACTGTTCAGCTTCACAGCAACCATGAGTTACCTCTGTACAGCAGGTGGACAGACGTGTGGTGGCCCTGGTTAGAGTTGACCTTCTGGCTTAGCATGCTGTTTGCACTGCCCAGAACCCCACAGACGTGGGACAGCATTCCATCTCATGAAACAGTCAAACGTCAGCGTCACTGCTGTCCAGCCTGTTACGTTCTTGACAACCATCCATCCTTCAGGTTTCTGAGGCTGTAAAATCTTTGCAGGTGAAATTGCCCGACTTTCTACCACTTGAGCAGTTTGTGGATTTGAACCGCCAACCTTTTCAGCTAGCAGACCAGCACACCATGCACTTGGCCACCAGGGCTCCTTCGTTAATTATTAAGGAGTGCAAATTTTAAAATACTGACACATATTATAATTTTTTTTCTTAAATCTTGTATGAAATTCAGTGTTGGCAAGGTTGGTAGTGAATAAGCACTCTCAGATGTTGTGATGAGATGTAGTGTTTCAGCTCAAAGACTTGGCAGTAAACAGATTCGTCCTGGAAAGGATTAAACCGGGTGGCTCCTTGGAGGCAAGGATTCTAAGGCTCCATCTAACATACTTTGGACATGTTGCAAGGAGAGACAGGTCCTTGGAGAAGGACATCATGCTTGGGAGGGTGGAAGGACAGCGCAGGAGAGGAAGGCCCTCTATGAGATGGATTGATTCAGTCACTGGGGTAATCAGGATGGGTGTGTTGGACACAGTGCGATTGGCACAGGACAGAGCAGAGTTTAGGGCTCTTATACATAGGGTCGCTATGAGTCACAAGCAACTCGATGGCACATAACAACAACAACACAACGTGAATAGCCTTAAGACTGTGAACCCTCTTGATCTAGTCCTTTAATATCTTGAAATTTATCACAAGGAAATGGTGAAGAGTGTAAACCAAGAACTGCTCTGTTACTGGATTTTATTTATCAAGAGCAAATAAAATCAATCTTGAAACCAACTGATAAAATAATGTGTGATTTTTTATAAGTCATATGTTTGATGAATATTTAATGATACTGGGAAATAGTCAAGATCTGTTTCAAAGGGAGAAGGCAATGGTAAATTTGAGCTTTGCCTTTTTTTTTACTTGAGAATTTTATTTTTGTATGAGAGATAAATTGGAGCGATACCATATTTTAAGCAGTGATCTTTGGGTGGTGTTTTAAATGGGTTTTTAAAAAATTATTTCCTTTGTTTTAAAATTTATTTGCAATGAAAACATTTTACTGCCAAACAAGTAAAACATGGGTGGGGACCCAAGGGAAGAAGAGGGGTAGGAGTGGAGGGGTGAGGATGGTTAGGGGCGAAGCCACAGGGTTGTACAGTTTGGTGG